CTATATTTATATACTTCTATCTATATATTTCAATTTCTCCCTTTCTCTATATATTTATATATATATATGTCTCTCCTTTCTCTATCTATATATATAGATACATATATATACACACATATATACTTCTCTATATTTTTCTATATATATACATATACTTCTATATATATGTATATTTCTCTCTGTCTGTATATTTGCCTCTCCCTTTTTCTCTCTCTCCCTTTCTATGTCTCGCTCTCTCTATTTCTACATATATACAAGGGGGTCATCCCCCCTCCCCCCCCCAACACACACACAAATAGAAAAACCCTCTGCTGTCAGAACTTTCGTAGCATGCAGTTTTCCTGCGAGGTGAGCATTGAGCAACTCTCTCTGAGGTAGTGCATCCAGTGGTATCGGCTGGTAAGGTTCTTTCTGGTCACAGTGATTTTATTCATAAAAGCAGCTTCGCTGAAGCCTCTTTTTTTATGATGGCCAATTTAAGAGAACAGCATGCAGCTGTGAAATTTTGTTTCCTACTTGGGAAAAATGCCGCAGAAACTGTTGTGATGTTGAACCCAGCTTACAAGGACGGCGTTAAAGGAAAAACTCAAGTGTATGAGTGGTTTTCTCATTTCCAAAAGGTGAAATGTTGGTTTATGACTAACATCCTTCGACCAGACAAAAATGTCGATTCATAGTGGATGTGGAGTTCATTCCACCGAGTCAGACAGTTCATCAAACTTTCTATTGAGAGGTTCTCAAAAGATTGCATAACCGTGTGCAGCAAAAAAGGCCTGATTTGTGGCAGACGGGGGACTGGTTTTGCCACCATGACAGTGCACCTGCTCATGCAGCCATCTCAGTGTGCCAGTTTTTGGCAAAAGAACAGCATACCTCTCTTGCCCCGTGCACCTGACTCACCTGACCTCACTCCCTTCAAATTCTTTTTGTTTCCATGAATGAAGAGAAACATGAAAAGACAGCTATTTGATGGCATAGAAAAGCTGAAGAAAAAACAATGAAGGAGGTGCTGTCAGCCATCCAAACAGATGAGCTTGAAAAAATATTTCCAAGAATGGAAATGCAGATTTGACAAATGTATTAAGTATAATGGAGAGGGCTTTGAAGGTGATAAGGTTGTTTTGTAAAAAAATTTAAATACACAGCTTTGAAAAAAATCCATTTGGGGGAGGTACCTCTTGCACTGCCTTCTTTCTCTCTCTCTCTCTCTCTCTATCTATCTATCTATCTATATATATACATATATATTCTCTGTCTCTCCCTCTCCACTTCTCGTTTTATATATATACACACACATATATTTTTCTCTCCCTTTATATTTATATATATTTCCCTCATTTTTCTCTCTTCTCTCTATACATT